CAAAGTTGATATGTATGAAACTCGAGAAATTAAATGAGACCATCTAACACGGTGAAACATTCATATGAATTTTCTCAAAAAATCAAAAACATGGCACTGGAAGAAATAGACTTATTGGCAAGTTTTGATGTATAAAAATATTTCTAAAGAAAATGCACTCACGGCCCCGCTGGAAATGCTGGACCGAGAGAAGGATATGCTGGAATCACAACGGGTCGGTAGGGAGTCGTTAACAAGACTAATCAACTTGACTATAAGGACCACCTATTTTACATTCAACGGGAACATCTATGAACAAATATTTGGACTTCCCACGGGATCACCGCTCTCACCACTTTTGGCAAACGTATACATGAACAAAATAGAAGAGAGCTTCAAGACCGCACCGCTACAATCGACAGTGCTCATGCGGTACCTGGATGATTACTTCGCACTTTGGTCATATGGAAGAGAAAAGCTAGAAGAGTTTCTGAAGTTTGTAAACCAGATTGATGGAAAAATTCTATTCACAATGGAAGTAGAGGAAGGTGAGAAAATACCGTTCCTGGATGTTAAAGTAATTCTTTATAATAGAACGCTAAAAAAGAAATTTTTCAGAAAGAGGTCTTATGCTGGGATAATACTCAATTTCCGGTCCCATCACAATTACAGATTAAAGATCGGAATAATGAGGAGCATGATCATGCGAAGCCTACGTCTACCGGATACAGATTTCTGGGACAAGCTGGACAAATTTACTAGGATCTTCCTTGGCAATGGCTACCCAAACGAAGTGATACAAATAAACATACGGGCCGTGAAAAGCCGACGGCATAATGGGGACTATGAAAGAACAGTAAGGACGATAAAAGATTGACAAAAGTGGATATGCCTACCTTCCTGCGAAGTAACTCAAAAACTACGGCCAATATTGAGTAAATTGAATATTCAGGTGGCCATGAAAGAGAAATCAACACTTTTAACAGTTTACCAAGGCAACATGAAAGGGTAGAAAAATTGGATTGTTCAGGAGTTTACTGAATATCATGAGGCGGCTGCGGACAGAAATATATCGGCGAAACATGTAGAAAAGTTAGCACACGAATCAGGGAACATCAGAGGCTTTGCAGGAAAATGGATACCGAAAAATCAGAACTAGCGGAACACATCGCGCAGAGTGGACACGAGATCAATTGGAAGGCAACAGAAAAAAGAGCCCCATACGGTGACAACACAAAAAGGCGCAAGATTACGGAAGCCATTGACATCCTTGGGGAGACAAATCTAATCAACAGGAGATTGGAGGAAGGTAGTTAGCGATAACTTTGCCTACTGCCTAAGAAAAATTGGGGAAAACAATAGAGCAAGACCAGCAAAAAGAAGACGCCTGGACCAAGGATCTGCCGCTAACCGGAGGAAAAGGGATTGCGATAAGGAAAGTGGGGGGCAGGGAAATTCGGCTAATAAGCGAAGACATCGTCGGTGAGTGATGTCCATTTTGAATAAATCAGTACAACTTTGGGGGCCTGGCAATCAGGGAGCTGGGCAGACGGATAAGCAAACCGTCATAGAAATTAGGCGTTCTGGCCAAAATGCACTATAAATCCACTTGAGATGCCGCATGCGAGCAGAGATAGGCGTCCACAGTTTGCTCAGATAGCATGGGCTTAATCAAGGAGAGGACCCGTGAAGGAAAAGCCTGATATCTGCAAGCATGGGAATCAGAGCTTAAGCGCTCCGCTCATTGAAGCGGCAGCGTATGTGCTTCTAGAGCCTTAAGAAATAGCGCCTGGAATGAAATGCACACAGGGACTGGATTCGAGTGAAATCGGTCAACGAGAAAGATAAGGAACGGATCTACGAGACAATGAAGGGATCCAGATTGGAGGCCCGAGTCGGATAAGACCATCGAAATAGAGGGGTCGGGGTAAATAGCAAATGTGATAAGGCCACACTAGGTTTGCCACAAAATGGCACACATTTTGACGAGTGAAATGTAAACAAGTGAGAAATTGTGATAGGGCGGCAGTGGGATAAGAGTGTAAAGAGTAGATAGATAGGCAGTGACAGAAAGAGGAGCGATATTGTAACCGTTTTCTGCGGAACGATTTTCGAGGAATTGACTCCACTTGTATCTTTGACAAGTTAGTAGCTTGGTGAGGAGAATGGCAAAGCACACTGATGATGCCGACTACGATGCCAGCGAAACGTTTGAGAATGTAACAAGTCCATTGCCAGATGATGGGAATCATGACAACTACCATGGCAGACGACTTCTGAATAGGTGCGTTCTACATAGTCGCCTTGACAAGAAGACCAAGATGCGACGATTTCATCCCACTTCTATGTACTACGAAGTTAATGAAATTTATTTAGACACTTGCAAAGTTTCATGGGAGCTCATTACTGCAAAGGGAAACTAGCTATAGATGGTGCTGGATTAAATAGTAAGAGGCTTCTCTTTAGGCTCAGGCAACCATCATGAGTTAACGTAAAGCGCAATTAATAACACGTGTGGATGTGAATTAGACTTCATTAATTTATAACAAATATCCCTGTCCATAAAGTTGTGAACAGATTTTTACTTTTGAGCAAGACATTACTTCCTAAAATTCTAATATAAAGCTGGATACAGAAGGCGAGATGAAAGTGAATTTGCGAATATAAGAGCCATAAGAACTTGGTCACCCTAGGTAGCATAAGCTGAGTTAAGAAATCATAGTTAAGTTTTCTCACTAGGAGATAAGCACGTCGCACAATGCTAATGAACTTCCTCTAATTTTATTAGTAGAGGCTTTCTAATTCAGGGTGAACTACAGTTTTGGTCTAGCCTAGATTTCAGCAGTACCCCTAACGGGGTTGAGTCTCGTGGTAGAGTTACCACTCTACTGCACACGCCTGAGTAACCATGGGTAACTGGGTAGATTCAGCATTCAAGGCATCTCTCAAATCACATTAATAGTCGGTTTCGGCTAAACAAATATGTAAACGTCTTTACAATTGACAGTACTTAGACTTGATGAGCAGTACTTTTTTTAGAAGTTAGTCACTCAAGATCATTTAAGGTGATGTCAATCTGCGATCCACTGGCACTCCTTGCCGTTTAGTGGAATGACGTCGCCAAGCTATTAGCGACCTGGTATTGAATCCTGTTAGGGATTCTGATGAGAAGCCAGGCGAGGTCAAAAATGCAGTCTACCTTGGATGACATAGCATTTGGCAGAGCAAGGTTAAGTGAAATTCAATAGTATGGTAGGTCCTACTCATCTCATCATATGGAAGCTCAATTATCTGTCATTGGATCATCCTAAGTGACATAGGGCGACTAAATACTTGTTAATGAATTACTGATAGTCTCGAAAAACGCTCATATGGAAAATATATAATATCGCCGATTTAATCTAAAATCTTAATAAGGTCTGATTTTGAAGAAGTTTGGCTTGCCTTGATTATGGCGCTTCCCTGTAAAACACACACGTACATGTAATTGAATAGTAATGCCGTCATGACACTCACAACCCAGTATTCGTCTCAGCCAAGTCAAGACCTGCCTTATGGAAGGCAGGGGTAAGTATAACTCAATGGCGTTGCGAAATCTAATCAAAGCATTATATGGGAAAAATCAACTATCAGTCTTTAAATCACTTTAAGCGGCCGAGATTGACTAACTTATTAATCCAAAATTGATGATAATCTCAAAAAGTACCAGTATCGAAAATAAAAGAAGATATTGATTTAGTTACTATAGCTGCCTTTATTATAATAACAGATAGTTTGGGTCAAAGTATGCACAAAAAACAAGTTTTATTCATTATATTTTTCTTAATCTATATCTACAAAACAGAATATCCTAGACAAAGCGCTTGGAATACTAGTCGAGAATATGTAGAATGGTGAAGTTGAGGCCTAAAAAATTGTTACTGAACTATAACTATCCTCTGGGCCTTTGAGTAAACAAAAAATGTTTTAATATAAACCATATTTTAAAAATAAAAGATTTGAAAGATTTGCTTAGGCGTTTTCCTATTCAAAAATCAAAGCTCATTTGTAATAAATGAGATAGATAGGAAAGATAATTCTGACAAAATGAAGCTAGCAAACATTAAATAACGAGAATAAAAGTATTGAAAGATGAAAAAAGCGTCAGGACCAACAAATGTATCAAAGAATTATAGGCTAATTATAGCAGCTGCATAACCACTTAAAAATAAGGAAAAAAATTTTGAAATGTCTTTTTAATTGCAGCTTGATAGGAAATTTAAGGAAAAAAATTTTAACGAACACCCCAGAGTGACAATAAACGACGAGAAGTTACGATCACAAAATTATAGTGAAAAAACCTTCGGGATTATTTAAACGTACAATAAGTGTGAAGTAAAAATTAGAGAAAACTATTTTGAATAGAACAATATTTTTGAGGACACTCGAATTTGAAATCAAAAGATTTCACTAGGAAAAATGAGAAATCGATGAATTTAATTGAGCTAATAAAATCAGTGAGTGATGAAAGCCCAAGTTTCAGCATACATTAAGAGTGTACAAATAGGATTCACGGAAATTTGGTAGAGGAAAGACTCGAGGGATCAGTTAAAAATTGGAGACGGCATTGTGATGAAATATAGGAGTGACGACGTAAAAGTAATAAATATAGATAAAAGCTCTTTTCTGAAAACCAATAATGCTATTTAAAAGCAAAAAATCATCGAAATTTCAAGTTTCAGCTCTCTTTCTCCATTAATTTCGAGCTCTGACATGAAAAGAAGCTGTAAAGGGGACCCGAAACTACCCACATAAAAAAACAACAGCTTCAATATGTACTAAACTCATAGGCCAACGGAGTACTAAAATCGAAAGTTGAATTCAGAAAAGATAGAGCTGTAGATAAAAGAAAACCATTAGAAAAATATAGCACGGCTTCATTGGATGAGTTAAAATGGTGAAAAACGCAACACAGCTAAAGTGGATCCGCATTCAAGATTAGCCATTCCTATCAGTATTTTAGACCTCTGAGAGGTCAGAATTTAGGTGCAAGGCATTCGAGCTTTGAAAAGTGAGAACTGAATGACAGCAAGGTATACAGCAATGGCGCCGACTAGCGCACCCAACTGCGTTGCTGCTCCAGCTAGTCGAAGGGTGTGCATGCCTTCGTGCTCCATGAGGTAGACGCCACACCATGTTCGAAGGGCAGGAAAGCCACCGCCTATAATACACCATGAGATCACCTGCCAAGTATAGAGCAAAATACCTAATTACAAAAACTAAAAATTTGAATCCAACACTAAAGCCTTATAAGTCATCCGCAGTAGATAAACTAAGATAGAATTCTCGATAATCACATTTATCTGGGCTCTTTGATGTCAACATGGTCATCTCGTTTATAAGGAAGGCACGCAGAGTTACGATAGAATTCTATATCCGTTAATATGTCAACAGACTGGCGCCAGCCATGGTGATTTACA